CTCGAGAAAGTGTTTGCCACCAGCTGACGATGATGCCAATGATAGCAAAGACACTGGGCTGCACATGCTGTATGAAAAAAGACCACGCAGACAGCACAGAACTGCATCACAGTCCTGCATGCAATTTCACATGCTAGATGGCATTAGCCACACGCGGCGATTTGTCATTCTTGAAGCTCTTCTAAATCAAAACTGAGATTGGTCGGTAATAAACAGACTATGACTAATTATCTATCATTTGCTATAGCAAGTGATGAACCATGTTATGACTGATAGGCCTCCAGCAATATATTGCAGTAAAAAAACATCCCACCAGCATTTTTGTATGAGCACCCCCTTAATGGAAGATCTCATAAATACGACTTAAGGCAAAATATCAACTAGTGCTGCTACATTAGTTTCTAGGGATCACACAAACGTTATAAACAACTCTGCATGATTGCCAGTAAAGTTTTTAGACATCAGTGACTATGCTGGTACTTGTAATACTGCAGAGCGTGTGGGTGTGCTGCTACATTAGTTTCTAGGGATCACACAAACGTTACAAACAACTCTGCATGATTGCCAGTAAAGTTTTTAGACATCAGTGACTATGCTGGTACTTGTAATACTGTAGAGCGTGTGGGTGTGCGTAATTAAGGTGCAAAATGTGCTTTGTCCCATGACAGCTGTAGCCCCTTCTAATCTTCGTACACTTTTCCCGCATGATACTGGCGTGTTACGGTGAAAGTGACTTGATAAGAGTTGAGCTTGCAACCGACCAAGGTGAGACTATCAATGTTTTTTTTTTATGCGGAAGTATTTCTTAGCAAACTGTAGATACTTTGAGCGTCCGCCCATTCTTCCATCCGACCCCGGGGTAATACACTAACAAAAGTGACGAGCAATATTCACATAATCACACCGTAAAGGGTTCCTTGTCCTGATATAAGCGACTTTTGAAAGGGGAAAAGGAAGAAATAAGCGCAGTTCTGTTACTGAAAAGTGACGAGCAATATTCACATAGTCACACCGTAAAGGGTTCCTTGTCCTGGTATAAGCGACTTTTGAAAGGGGAAAAGAAAGAAATAAGCACAGTTCTGTTACTGCCTCTCTCAATGGAGGGCACCTCCACAGTTTTGCACAGGGGATGGGGGTAAGAAGGGATTAAAAAGGATAGGGAGGTATTAAAAGTATAGAGATAGAGATAGGAGCAGGAAGAGAGAGAGGCGCAGGGACAGCCACATACGTAAGTAAGGAGAAGATAGGAAAGATAGACACGGTCGCAGAAGTCCGAGGACGGGGCACCACTCGGCGAGAGCTCTTGTTGGTGTCGGGAGATGGCGTAGGGCGAGCCAGTCGGCCAGAGCTGCGCTGTCGTGAAAGATTGAGGGGCACAACCGGTCCGCACGAAATCCAGCAAGTGAGTCCCCTTGTTTTGATAATAGGGTACTAATGTCTATGCTATAACATGAGTGCTGACATTACATCAGACTCTAAGTTACCCAGTGCAGTCACGTAGACGCCAATATAATGGACATTCCTAGTAATCCCACCATGTGGACACAACTACCGCACTTAATGCACCTAGTAAGACTTGCCTCAAAGAAAACAAAGAACAGCATAGACAATCACTCGCCGGCTGTTTCACATAAAACAGATTCCCACGAGGCGTGGGATCTGCCAAATTTTCTACCTCAGTCAACATGTGACAGTTGGAGCGCGTGCATTGACTGGTTTATTAGCCCCGAGAAGCTGGAGTGGCGCCTCCTGGTGGGATGCCTAGGTGATGTCATGGCGCGAACTTTTCGATGCCCACCGCCGCGTGCCTACATAATGATGCGCTCGCTTTGTGCGCTGTTCCCCTGTTTGCGTTCACTTTCTGCTCGTCTCAAGCTGTACATGAATGACGGAAACAGAATCAGTAATGTCCCTGGAGAAACAATAAATGTTTACTTTTGCTTCTACACAATCGCAACCTCAATCGTAGGCAATGTAAAAAGGATGAAAATGTCTGTGTCGCGCTGCTAACCCCGATGATGTATTACATTCCTTGCCACGGCAGCCGCATGCTGACGAGTGTGAAAAGCGAGAACACACCTCTGTTTGGATACAAACAACTCATTGGTGCATAGTCATGTAATTTTGAGATGTAAGACAATATTTACATTATTAGGTTAAGCTGTTCATGGGTGACTCCTATAGAAGATATGAGGGTTTACCCTCCTGTAGGGTTATTTGTATTGGAAGAATCCACGTATTTACCAACACTGCTTTCATTGGTGTGTCAAAACTCGCGCTCGCTTGCATTATCGAGTCTCACAAAACATCTCATGCGCTCGCTCTAGAATACCACCGCCACTGTTGTCTGTTTTTCTCGTGTACTTGCTCACTAAGCACATTGTCCAGTTTCATGTTTCTCTCACAATAATTTTGGAGCTTCATTTCACCGAAATTTTTGAGGTCAAGTGTGGTTAAGGTTATGTGCGAAAATTCTCTTTGGAGTCAGATTCTGTCTTCGTGCAGAATCGTAGCAATGGTGCTATTGCGCTCGTAACTATCATTTTAGATCGCCACCTCATAAACTAATTTTCCTTGCAGCAGATTACTTGTACATGGACATGACATACGAGTCCAGTCACCACCTCATTGAGGGGAAGGTTGTTCAATTATTACTCAGGCCACGTCGCTGACTATGCCATTGAAAATGTTTATTTCAACTTTCCGGTGTTTGTGTTGGAATCGTAGCTCTCAGCGGTGCTCCCATGTGAGGTGAACATTACTCTTTTTGACACGGGGGTAGACCACCCCAACATTTTACACAAATCAGGGTATACGACTACACAATCCCTGGCAACTGTTGAGAAGAAACATGTACAGTATACCACAAAAGTTTACAGTCCATGCGAGCGCATGCCAAAGTGCCTGTCCGCGCCACCTAGCGGTGCCCCATCTACCGTCGACCGCAGCGCTAGGGCGGAAACGGCTCTTCTTGTTATTCACTGGCCTTTCAATTTTCTACTGCTACGTAGCGCATTGCTAGTTCACAGTTTTCACACGAAGCGCTCATCTGCAGTATGACTATCACATTTCTATTTTCACAGCAGTATCAGCGCTATCACGGCGGGCCTCGAAAGGCATTCGATTGGCTATGTATGACTTTTTGATAAAGGTTGCGACTGATAACAGATGTGCTCATAAACTGCTCTGGAGGCAGAAGCACATAGACACAGATGCCAAAAAGCGTTTCGCATTAAAAAGTGAAAGGTGTGAAGTATTTGAGTCGTAAAACAGACAGGCCATAGATTAAGGAAGGGATGCGTCTCGGGCGCTGCGGTGCTGTCAATTGCCGCTGACGTAGCGGAAATGTCGCGAAGAGGCTTTGGGCTACGCGCTCGTGTGGTCCATAAACTTTTGTGATCGACTGTCCATATGATCCGAGTGAACGGATATATTCCAACATTTTCGAAATCGTATGTGGCAGTACAATGTCGTTTATTTTCCGAATATTTGAAGTTTGTGCTTATGACAGTCATATTCATGTAAAGTCACCTGTTGGAGAAAGTGCAATTCTGTGAAATCATTTAGATTATTCGCAGATGCAGGTGCAACTTTCACAGTAAAGCGCAATGTATTTAATGAATTGGAAACATCCCGATTTCATTTGTGATACTTCAGCACATGTTTCCATCCTAGAGTCTATGACTTGTTTTAATCACGTTAGCATCACTTAGCATATATTCTTATAGCACCCATTCTTGATGTAAGCAATGAAAGCAACAATTTTCACAATAAATCTGCCATTCGGACGGGAGCCTGCCTCTGTGACACGATAGAAAGTATGCACTAACTCCGAAAAAAGACGTTTTATGTTTACGCACATAGTTTTTCTATTGTTTACATGATTGTTTATGTTATATTAGATTGTATTAGTTTGATTGTTGCATTGTAAATGCTATCTTTGTATTAGAGATAAGCGTGATTCAAATGTACGCAAAGCATTTTACACACGTGTACCCTATCCCATTTTTATGTACGGTACACAATTCTGTTCTGTATTACAATGTTGTTTTCTTCTTTTTATGCGTGCTCACGTATCATTATGTCCATCTGCCTTGGTCTCCGTGTGAGACTGGCAGTATTGAAATAAATGAAAAAATTTAAGCTAAATTATGTAAACTTTTTACAGCCTCGATAACTTTCACTAGTTATAAAACCTGTCACTTTGTGTCTGGAGAGATTTGCGTCACGCAACTGAGGAGTAATATGCAAATCACTGCTTAAGAGCGGGTACGCGGCGGGCGCAAAAAAAGGAGACAAGCAGCAGCAGAAAAGGCGAGTCCTTGCCGTGATGTCACATTGCTGCGATCGCAGCAACACCAGTGTTCGTTCTTTGAGCTAATAAGCAAGCAGTTGGCTTCATCTGTGACTGGTAGTGACATAAAAATGCGATTTCTCAGCTAGAAGCATCAAATGGAGCAGATATTTTCAGTCTAGGACCAGAGAAAAGTATGAATTAACCAGTTATACAATTAAGCAGTTTGAATTAAGCGGCTTTAAAATACACTGAAAACATAGCTGGCCAACCAAGAATTTAAAGTTTGTTTGGATTAACCGAAAGTATGAATTATCCAGTTTATTGTATAGTTTTCTACGTTGCATTTATTACAATGAACTTCTAAAAAAGCAGACGTTTATTGACCTTCTGTATTCTCTCTAATGGAAGTCTGCTTCATTCTGAACCGCAGAAAATTTATTTAGCTACCTTTATTAAGCAGGACATCTGCTTTTGATGCAACATATGCAAAAGCAGAAATTACAATTTAAATAATAAAGATTAAACTACTGTTATCTACACAACAATACTAACAAGCATAGATTAATTTATTTATATCAACTGTACCTATGTATGTACAACATAGGGCAATACAATTTCATAAATGAAAAGAACGAGCAGCTGTAGTAATAATTCCCCAGTTCAGGTGGCCTCCATACATTATAAACAAAGCAGAATAACTCACCAGCCAGGTCTCGAGCATGTTATGCTGGTTGCACTTTTAACACACATCAACAGCTTGTTGCAACCACACCGTATGTACCTTTTCCCTTTTGGGGGGTTGCCCAAAGCCTGAAAATATAAACAACAAAATCTTCAGCAACCTTGTAACATTGCAACCATCTGATAACTCCTAGACTCCATCTGATAACTCCTAGACTCCTAGGCAAGTTTGGCTCTATAAATAGAATAGCACGAACTGCGCAAGCTTGCTCAGTGGCATGTCCAAAGCACCACAAGAGTGAGCTCTGTTAGCTGCCTTGCATGGAAGAGCATGGCTTTTTTTGTTGTGTACACCAAAAAAAATTCTTTTTTTTTCATTAGTATGACTGATTTTCATTATCGTTGGACACATGCAAACAATTACCATCCAAACTATATCCCATGATAAACAAATAATTCACCCAACAGTACATCTTAAAAAGATTTACACGCTAACAAGGGGATGCCGACCATTAAAGAAAGACACTAGCTGTCCACCACATACTTCAAGCACACGTTAAAAGGCAACCAAGCAATAATTGTGGTTGCCTTCATCTTTCCATTTATTTACAAGCAAGGCCCATGTAAATGCAGTGGTATTTGGAAGCAAGACTGCTTCCAAATACATAGCATTCCAAATGCACGCACACAAGCACTTACATACATGCACACACACACACACAAAATAAAAGAAAAAAATTAGGTACATGAAAAAAATGCCAAGTTAACTTAGTTTTTCAAAACAAAAAAGAATGCAATAGGACTGCAAGTTTTTCTTTTTGAAACAGTAGTAAGAAGGCAAAGACACACTGACATGATCATTGCCGAGTTGTATGGTTGAACTGTTTCAATTATTTCTGATGTCAGTACATGCACCTTTCCTAGAGTAAACCACCAGGCAAGTCAGCTGCTAAACTGCTCCAGCTTACTGCATGCTGAATTAACATAACTGCTGCTACACCTCAGTTTCACTGTGCCAGTGGAACATGTTTGGAACAGAATAGTCAGCTGATTATAAGTATGACAACCACTTAAAAATTTGACATTTACAAATGCATCAATTGAACTTATAATTATTAATTGGCCTGAGAGGGTCGCTCCAACACTATTCAACTCTAATTTTTACCAGTGAGTTGTGTAGACTGAAGTATGGACAGATTAGTGCACGAAGAACGCCAGCGATAAGGGCACACAGTCCCAAATCATTCTTTCTAGAAAATACGAAACACAAAAAAAAGCCTAACCTCATCTTAATTTTTTGGGGGTCACATAGCCACATTTCACTCATCGCTAACTCTTTATGTTTGAATTATAAACCAGCCAAAGAAAATGAAAATTGTTTTCATTTTCTAGCTTTAAATAGCAACCTTTAAATTATTGTGCATAAACAATTTTAAAATACACCTTTAAAGCATACTTTTATGTATGTTGCGAATTCTCCACATGCCACAGAGGTGAGGACCGTGCAATGAAAAATGTAATTTAGACCTACACATCATGTCATGTGCCACGTCTGCGTACACACCAAATAAACAAAATTATTGAAGATGGAACTTGCGTCAGCCAGGCGAGAAAGAATGAAGAAGTGAGCGCTCTTGCACGCGCTTTGTGCTCTCTGCCATTAGCTACAAAACAATTGTTTCTAGCATAAAATATATTGCACAAGACAGCGCTAGATTTTCATGCTGAAAGCTGTGTTCCCCATGAGTACTTGAAAGCCAGCATTAAAGGCGGCTCGCATTGTGCGACTTGTTTGCTTGAAGTTTTTCTGTATGTTGCAAATTTGCAACACTAAGCAGTAAAGCGTTTATAATAAAGCACGTGGCCAATCAAATGAGCTGAAAGGACCTACGTATGGGAAGCTCGCACATCATTGTTGCCCGTTCAGTCCAACATATTAATGATGCCGTTGCTGTAGTAACAAACAAAGTGGTGCCTGCCCATGCTATTTTGTTTACACAGTAAGGCTGTTAGAAATTATCTACCCTGACCTATCAGAATTTGAGCGGGTGCTACTGCTTTGAAGCAAGGCTTTGTCAGCTATTCCTTAAAAAAAAACACTACACGTTACTGCCTCCTCTCATATAAAAAAGGAAATTCGTGTGCGAACAAGGGCAGTGAAGCATGGTTGCCTTCAGCAAACCAGAACTGCATAAAGTTAGGTTGTTCGGTAAGCCATTGAAAGTACAAGGGTGCAGTGACATCAATTCAATGAAGGGGATTACTTGCACCACTTCAATAACAATCAAGGGCGCCCTGCACATGTGCAATGAGGCAGCTCGCAAGCGTACAGAACCAAGAGGCAGGAAGGGAGGGGAGTCTTTCATATGGACACCCAATCCGTACAAGCAATAAAGCCAGAGGTGAAACGGCAGCCAGCACCTCTGTTGTGCTTTGTAATTGTAGTGACTTTTTTGTTGTTATTGTTGTTGCCCCATCGTCTATTTAGAATTCAATGAAAAAAATGAATATTGTTACGTAAAATGAGACGGGACGTGACTATTTGCCAGTGTATTTACACCGATAAAATCGGAGGGCAGCACACAGAGCGAGCAAACCAGTCCTCTTCGTCGTCTTCTGTCTACAGAATGGTTCACCCTTCATGCGATAGCTATGTAGCAATATAATATAATAATAATTGTTGGGGTTTAATGTTCTAAAACCACCATATGATTATGAGAGATGCCACAGTGGAGGGCTCTGGAAATTTCGACCAGATGGTATTCTTTAACGTGCACCCAAATCTGTCTGAAATAGTGAAATCAGTGAGTGCTACAAAGTACATGCAATGTGTGAGCAAGTATGATGATGATTAGTGGAGTTTTGTGACGCAAGGGCCATGGGTGGCCAAAGAGCACCATGTCTTTTGTGTGGTTTAAGCGATGACCAATGATTGCAATGACAGGGTGTATTTTGGCTGTATAAAGGCCTAAAACCACGCGCTGTATGACAGCGTAAAAGGTGTGTATACGTATAAAATTATGACAGTGACATGCGATGTGATGTATGAGTGCGAAATAAATTACAAATAACCATTTTATCTACTTGTGAGAGATCGGAAGAAAAAACACCAATACATCCTAGGGGTCTTTGAGACCAAAGGCTAGGTAGTAGGTCTTCTGTGAGTGGCTGCCACAGCAACAACCTCTGTTGAGAGGTCGTCTTATTGATGTCTTTGATATATGATGTCAAAGCTATGAATGTCTATTAAGAACGCGAACAATGAATCAAATTTAAATATTGCTTCATTACCTATGAACATTCGAGGATGAAAAGGAATTTGTTGACGATAAGCTAGCAAGAAGTGCTTTTTTCTGATGGATTCCAGCTCACTGCACTGAACGAGGATGTGAATGACAGTGAGTGGTTCACCACACTCATCACACAAAGGTGGATCACCACCAGACAAAAGGGACGAGTGTGTACTGTGTGTGTGTCCTATTCTTAATCTCGTAAGTGTTGCTTCTGTGTGGTGCGATTTTGATACTGGCGGCCAATTCCCGATATGTGGTTTTATGAGATGAAGTTTATTCTGTGTTTGCCTGTCCCATGATCGCTGCCAATGGTCCCAGAGTTTTCATTTGAGATAAAGTTTCAGCTTCAGTACAGGGACAGCTATGTCTGTATTGGCAGTACTTCCATGGGAGGATGCAGCAAGCTTGTTCGCAAACACATTTCCATGGATCTCACGATGCCCAGGCACCCAGCACACTGTGACATGCTGTCCGAGCGTGTAAATTTTGCATAAAATTGTGTATAATCAGATTAAGACAGGATTTTTGTGTTTTTTCATTATTTTTAGAGCTTTTACCACACTCAGGGAATCAGTGTATATTACTGCATTTTGTTGTTTCAATTGCTTAATGTGTTTTACAGCTGCGAGTATTGCAAGGGCTTCTGCTGTAAAGATGCTTGTGTAAATGTGCAGAATGCCGATATCTGAAAAAGATGGACCGACTGCTGCTGATGACACAGAATTATGAGAGTTAGAAGCATCCGTGAAAAATTCAGGTCAGCTATACTTGTGCTCCCGTTCAAGGAAGTACGCATGAATATGTGCAAGAGAGGCATGTTTCGTAACTTCCACGAAGGACACATCACAGTCTATGGACTGCCACTATCACGGTAGTAGGTTTGCTGCGGGGGCCGCCAAACAGTACTCTAAAATAGGAACCCCCCTTTTCTCAGCTAGGCCCCTCACTCGTAGTGCATAGGGCTCTCGTAACGAAGGACGATTAAACAGAAGGATAGAAGTGGACAAATCATTGACAGTGGAGTGTGAAGGGTGTTCTTGTTTGCGTTAACCTTTAGAAAAGATACAATTGATAGGTAGGACCTCTGAAGATGGAGTGACCACTCATTCGATTCAATGTACAGGCTTTCTATGGGACGAATTTTAAAGGCGCCCATAGATAAGCGAATGCCTAGATGATAGACAGGATCAAGCATCCGTAAGGCGTTTGGTGCAACGTATTGATAGATTATTACCTCGTAGTCTGAGCGGGTACGTATGAGGCTTTTGTACAGATCTATCAGACACTTCTTATCACTGCCCCACATAGTGAGTGACAAAACCTTTAGAACATTCATTGTTTTAATACATTTACCTCTAAAATGTTTAATGTGTGATAAGAATGTCAGTTTACTGCCCAGGAGTAGGCGTAAGAATTTGTCTCCGTCTTTACGAAAAGAAGTTGACCATGCAGGTCAATATTTGGATCAGGATGAAGGCCTCGCTTTCGGGAGAACAGGAAGCAGGTGCTTTTTTTTTTTTTTTTGCATTAAAGCTATAACCATTCTCGCCTGCCAATTTCGATATCTTGTTCAGACCTAACGAGACCTGCCACTCACATATAGAAAGATTGCATGACTTAAAAGCATATTATCGACGTATGTGCAATAGAATATATTGTGTGGAATGCAAAGACTCAAGGAATTCATCTTGACAATAAAAAGAATACAGCTAATTACTCCACCTTGCAGCACTCTCATTTCTCGGACAAGTGTTTGGGACAAAACATTGCCCATTTGAACATGGAATGTGGGGTTTAACAAGTAACTTTCGATTATGATAAACATTCTAACATGCA